TTGCTTGGAAGAATGAACCACACCCTAAGTAAAAAAAAAAAAAAAAAAAAAAAAAAAAAAACATGTAAGACAAAGCCCAAGGAAAATTCAAAACTAGTCCAAGCCAAGCCATGACAACTTCTTCGCTCAGTCGTCAGTACTCCATTATTTTTTTCTCTTAAAAAATTGTTTTCTTTTTTGAAAAAATTCTCCTCTCAGAAGTACAGAACACTATCATTTCTCAATGATATCTTCCTCAGATTAGTAGTCTTAACCCATACAGCTTTCCCTTTCCCTTTCCCTTAACCATGGTTAAACACATGCATTCCTTCATTTATTTTATTCATTCATATAATTTCATACACCCAGCTCAGATGCTTCATGTCCTATTTCATCAAAAACCTTTCTTTTTTACAGTTTGTACTTACAGTGTAACATTCAATATTGTCTGCAGTACAATGAACAGTTGTGATAATTACTTCCCTTTTCCTTTTTCTTCATCATGTGTTTAGGTTAGCTTAGGAAAATGCATTATGAATGTCTTTTTCTGGTATGAGACGAATTTTTTATTCTTGATTTTTTATTTTTTTTTGCAGATGTATAGAACAGTGAAGACTACAGACAGAGCTGCAGCTTCTTCAGGTAAGTATATAATTTTAATTAATTGATACTTAAATTACTGAAATTGGTGTTTGTTTAATTGACATTCTTAATTAGTTACATGAATTAATAAATTTCAGGACAATCAGATGCTTTTGAGAATGGATCATCAGGAGATACTTCTGAAGACCTGATGTTTGACATTCACAACCCAAGGAGGGCTGAGCTATCCTCAGTCCAACAGGGAAGATCAAATGTTCACCATCGAGACAAGGATCAGTACCATGGCCTCTGGAGCAATTCTTCAAGGTGAGAGAAAACAAAACTTTATTTGTACACCAAATTTGGCCCTTGCAAATTTCCTCACCACCCTGTCTGTCTGTCCTTTCTTGTTTTTACATCTGTTCTATTGTTTTTGGTTACTGCAACAGCTAAAGGACAATCAGATTAATTATTTTGTCACAACAACCAACAAACATTGCCTTAATGTACAACATTTTTGAAATTTCCCAAAGGTTTTAGTTTCTTTTGATTTTAATATGCTTATGTCCTTAAGGTTAAAGCCAGTTGTCACAGTTCAAGTACACAAGACAAACACAGTTTAATCAAAGAAACTTCTGGGTTTCTCTTATTCTAATCACTATGATATTGTAATAAGAAGTCTTATCTTGGTTCTGTCTCTCTGTCTTTTGTTTCTGAGTGCTTATTACATATATATATTCACTTACAAACATATATGGTTACATCAAGAAATCACAAAGAGAGGAATGATGGTTGATTTTTTCTGTCTGTCCTGAAATATGAACATTGGATGATTGGACCAAGGAATGATAAGGTAGTTTCATGTATGCATATCTTCTTTTGTAGTGAAAAAGAAAGAAAACCATCAGGGTCTCTCCTCCTTATCAGTTCAAGACCTTAGAAATCTCAAACGAGAAATCCACCTAAAAATGGAGATATATATCTCTTTCTTCGGGATTTGGTGGGCTCGGATATAGGGAAAATAAATGGGGTCTACAGATGGAAAACTTAGTGTCAAAGCTAAAATGTATGATGACCCTAGTAGTGGAAATCTTGGTATTAAAGCTATTCCCTTTGAAACTTGTTTATGTGTGGTCTGTTGTTATGGGTAGTGGGCAATCACATGGGTGCATTCAACTTTATTTCAATCAGCATAAAATGTAAAGTTGAGGGATTATAAACAAGACAGAGACAGTAAAAGAAACCTTTCTTTTCCTTAATTTTCTCTTTTTTTTTATTCTGCATGGCTTATCTACTGATAGCTATCAAATATTCTCTCTTTGTGTTTGTTTGTAGCAGGGAAGCTTGGATGCATGGGAAATCAAAGGATTCAGGTGGAAGCTTGCCATCTCTTGAGGTACCCATTACAAACTTTTCTTTCCCAAAATGACCTTCACCCATTTTGCCCAATATTTTTGAGACCTTTATATGTAGTAGTGAATGAATGGAATTTAATGCAAGGAAAAAGAACTGTTTTAACCTTTTTCTTTATCAGGCCATGCACATTAAGTAGTACATTGCTTTAGATGTCTAAAAAAGCAATTGAAAACTCACCCTTGAAATTATAGTATTATACCCCTTCTTCAAAAGCAACAATTGGGGCTATTTAGTGGTTTAGTCATTGTAAGAGGTCCAAGAAGACAAAAGAAAGAACCCATTAAAGAACCTCCCCCCTCCCCATCATTTATTTGCTAGTTCCTTCTTCCTAAAATCCTAATTTTCAAGCTCATAACTTTGACCTAGCTAGATATAGATTGTGCAGATGCATAATGTGGTAAATATAAATTACTGATATGTTATTAATTAAGAGAGAATTGAAATTTGTATTGGGATGGGAGTAGAGTAGCATACTATAGAGACTGTAGTAGGCTTTGAAAATTTACTATGTATAGCCAGGAATTGTTTCCTTTTCCTTTCATAAATATTCCATTATTCCATGAGTCAAAGCGTCCTTTTGATTCCTATACTCTTCACAGATGTCTTATGCTGCTGCTGATACTGTTCACATTAGTTTATTGCAGCCCCTTTTTTTTCTTTTCATGACTCCTCTTTCACTTTTCCACAGAAGGAAATGGATCCAAAGTGCTTGAGCTATGATAGAATATCAGATGTGAGCTCTTCAAACCTTTCAGTGGCAAGCCCTAAGAAATCTAATTTGGATTTGGAGTTCACCTTGGGGAGGTCACTTTGATATCTCTATATATGCATGTGTGAGTACTACTCATTTTGAAATGATTATATGTGTCTGAAGGGTGAAGGGAGAACCAGGTACCTTTCAGAGGGAAAAAAAAAATAGAGAAAAAGAAAAAGGAAAGAAAAGAGAAGAAAAGAAAAAGAGAGCTAAAGAAAGACAAGGAGACAAGAAAGAAAGCAACAAAAGGAGAAGGGTGGAAAAGCATGTCTTTCTTATGAAGCTGTGAAATGAGATCCAAATCGACCTATTATAATATTATTCCTATGAAATTATGAAATCTAATTGATTTTTTTTTATTTGGGTTTTAGAGAGAGAGAGAGAGAGTGTGTGTGTGACCTTTAAGCTTTAACTATCTCAAAGTATTGATCCTTGGTAATTGTAATGGAGCCACTTTACAATTACTATAAACTATTTTTGTAGTTTTGCCGAAGGAGATTTTGAGGTTATATATCTTTTCTTTAATTCCAGGACAACCTCACTCACATGCTTGCTTTTTTGCACCTAACAAAAAGGAAAGGAAAAGGAATACTATTTTTGTTTTTTTGTTTTTTTGTTTTTTTTTTGCCTTCATGGAAATTTGAAAACAAAAAAGGGTAATTAAGATAAAAATGAAAAAGAAAAAAGAAAGAATGAAAAACTCAACTTCATATTTACCTTTTCAATAACAACAAGAAAAGCCAAAAGTTTAATTATAGTACATTAGTTACATTAATCATAGTACTCTGAAAGTTTAAGAGTTCAAATCAATAGGATCTCTCAAGTCAAATGTAGGAAGTTATATATAGCTAGTTTGAGGGGTGGTTATGTTAAATTCATTTGACATTATTAAGGGAGAAATTACCAAATGCCGAAAATGTTGAAATATGACCAATATATATGTCTCAATAACCCCACAAATTTGCACTAGATTGATGAACATAAAATTCAAAGAGAATGATTGGAAAAGTTCTCTGAAGAAAAAGTCTAAAGGAAAAGAATTTTGGGAAGACATGAACATAAAGTTTTTTTGTACAGGAAGATTCCTACCAATATTTTGTTCTCTAGTCAGATATGTGTTTCCTTGCATAAGCACAAATACAAAAGCATTAGTCCGATCAACAAATTCCCGATACATTTTGCTAAGATTAGCATTAGCAACTTATCATTGCACTATGTAGTAGAAAAATGGTCCAAAAAATTAGTTGTTTGGTCACAATCGTCGGTGATTGTGTAAATGACTAATAAAACCATATCCCAAGCAAATTTATGATGACCCCAGAAGGTTATTTTGGTCAATTTAAATAATTCTTTTCCAAGAGAAAGAAACTTACTAAAATCTGACAAATCATCACCATTCTCCACCTATTGGTCCCACAATGTTGCTAACCTTCAATCTGGGCCAAATTTTGGCAATCCTAAAATAAGGAATTAAAGGTCTAAAAAGATTGGCAGATTCAGATATGCACCATAAGGGCAAGACAAGGGACATATCACTTCAATCTTCTCCAAATTTTAGCAAGTAATGTCCACACTTTGATGGAGAAAATGTATGGTCCTAAAGGCTATAGCTTGAATTGTACAATAATAATACACCTACATACTTTTTTTCTTTTCAACTATTATTCCCTACTAAAACGACTACTCCATAACAAAGAAACCTTGGCCAAAGTTCACTACTTGACACAGGACATATGTGAAATGAAACAATAGCAGTTTTTTTTTTTTTTTTTTTTTGAACAACAAATTTTATTAAGGGGTACAAGAGTTACTACTATTCTTACAAACATATTAATATTTATGGGGTATCCTTGCACCACTGCTCAAAATCATAATTTTTTCCTCAAACACAAGCCCACAGGAATTCAGGGTCCTCACCAGCTGGATTAAGGATTAATTACAGTGGCTGCATTACCTCTCTAATTTTCCTCGGTTTTTTCCAACTTGCTGTCACTGTTTTTATAAATTGCCCAGGTTTGCTGCACCAATCTGTAAATTAATGAGATATTCACTTTCCCCAACTCTTCTAGTAATCCAGTGAAAAGACCTTGCTTGGACTAGATCAAAGCTACTCTCTACATTCACTTCGGCCCCTCTAAATATTTGTTCATTAATTTGTAAGTTTTAATTATGCCATCTTCCGAAAGGAAGCAGCTTCTAAAAACCTATCTACATTCTCTTCTAACTAATTTAGTGGTAATGAACTTTGAGATTGTTGTTTTCTTGGCAAATGCCTTGGCCTTTTTGTGAGATATTGGATGTGGGTTTGCAACTTTGCTTTAGGAGGCAAAAAAGGAAGAAAAAGGACAAGGTAAGGAAATCATGGAAAGAAAATGGGTTTATTCTTTGCCCTGCTTTGCTAGGTTAGTTGAGTAGCTTTAGGCCTTTGCATAAATGGAAGAGGAAAGTGACATGATAAAAAGGAAAAAAGAAGAGATATGGTGTTAAAATCCAAGGAAGAAAATTAACTTTTCCTTTAGTTCTTCGCCTTTTCTAACTTTGCTGAGGTTTTACACAGATGGGTTCACTAAAGCTTACATGACAGGAGCAATAAAGCTCCTAATGGAGCAGACAGATTAACAGATAAATTAAAGTGGTTGATAAAAAAATTAACAAATAAATTAAAGTTACTAATTGAACCCCAAAAAATTAATTTAAGAGGAATGAAAAAGAGGCATAATGGGGCTTAACTTTGACCCAACAACTCATTAAGAATGAAATAAAGCTATCACCAAAAGACAAATTACATCAAATTGACAACCAAAAGTTAGTCTAAAACGTGTGACCTATAAAGAAAATTTTCAAAATATATCTTTTTTATCAACAAAAAAAGGAAAAAAAAAAAAGAAGGTTAAATACCCTAATCAATTAACCCGAAGAGTTGGTGTGATTAAGAAAGGTTTTTACTTAACAGCTTTCTTTTCCTTGGATCTGACCAAGATTCAATTCTTTGAGAGTGGTAGGAATTGGTTACCTCTGATTAGATTGAAGATATCATGAACTTAGTTTCATGCGTGTAAAATGGTTGAAAATACCATTGAAAGGTAAACAAGAAACACAAGGATGTAAAAAAATATATTATAAAATGTTGATTTTTTACTCCATCTAAGAATTTTCTCCCTTTTCTTTTTTAAATATGGAGATTTAGATTTTTTATTTGATTAATCTTACAAATGTTTACAAATTATTTTATTTATAAATATTAAATAAAACTTTATTTTTAACATTGATATATATGATTTATTGAAATTATTTATATAAAAATAACATTCAAATTTATATTCTTAACTTGGTTGAAATAATCCCATCTAAGAATTCTCCTTTTCATGTAAGAGTATATACCATGAGCTCAAAAAACTTTACTACCAAAACATTGAAACACAAATTAATTACTCTTAATTTTTTTTTTTGTCCATTTTCCTCATCAAAGTTCAAAAGTCATCAATCACGCATATGGGACAATAAATAAACTAGAGAATAGGGATGGACCGTCTGGGGTCTCGCCCCTCGCCCCTCGGAAATAGGCGCGTGGGGCAGCCTACTCTCTGATGTAGTCTGAGTGTCTGAGTTATGACCTAAGGTAGAGGGGCGCGTGGGGTTCGGGCTAGGGCTTAGTATTCTGTAGTAGTAGACAGAATGAAAGAAACACATAGGGTCGGGTTTAGTTGGAACAACATGAATTTGCTAGTGCCACGTGGCGCACCTCACTTTTTACCAATTATTGCTGCATCATTTCCTCTATTCTTCTTTACTTTTTTCCGTCCACTAGGTTTTCATGATTTTCATATCATGAGGCCCAGCCATATTTATTTATTTTTATATATGCTGGCTTATTCGGCTCAGCCTTGGCTCAAGCCAGCTTTTTCTGAAGCCATGTGTGTACACGTGCAGATCACGTGATAATGTCGCTTATAATCAAGGCAGAGTTTGGCCAAAGTGAATTTTGTAATTTTGGACGTTGGGACGTTGATATATATGCATCAACAATACTATTCTTATAAAGAGGTTCAACAATACTTTGAAGTTTTAAGAGACATTTTCTTTAGCATATTTGGGCAATGTAATAGAGAGTCATTTCCATTCGTTAGTGAGACATTTTCTTTAGAGCGTATTTGGTTACCCACACTCTGAAACTAATTACGTATTTTGAAAAAATTAATTCCTAAGGGGCACGAGGAAGAAGAGAATGCCAATTTGTGTATACTGTATGCTAGAGGCTAGAGATGGAATGATGCAGAAAACAGCAGCAGCAGTAGTCCGAGTAAAACAAAGAGGACAGAGACTGAGGCTAGGCCCGGGCCCTGCATCCAAAGAGCCTTGAGCTACTAGACTGTCTAGCCTATAGGAGTGTAAGCCGACCCTCTCTCCATCTCACATTCATAGGAGTATGTATTATACCTGCAACTGCACGGTTCTCACAGGAATGTCAAAGTTGTATTATTTATCCATCATTACGCTATCATATGCATTTCTCCCAGGTCCACGATGACCCTTTGACGTGTCACTATTCTTCTTGGTTGATGTCGACTCCTGATGGCCCATCAGCCGTTGGATCCATCCATAATAGCAGAGAAAGTGACGGTAGCTGCCTGTGTTTTGACTCTCTCGCCTTGTTTTCACCCCACAAGTTAAGAAAAATAAAGGAAAAACAGCGATGATTTTGCAAGGGATTGAGTAGCTCGAGAACTTTTGCATGAAAAAGTGATAGGAGGATGGGGATGGTGGGGCCCCATCGGTATACATACTGACACAGTGACACTACTACTGTGCATGACAGAAGGATGCATGGAGTATATTCATGGGCAATTAATTAACCTCTTCTTTTTACCTTGCTCCACCGAAAAAAGTTTTACATCTTCTTTTACAAGTCTGTCCCCTCACCATTTTTTACTTTCGGTGATTTCATCTAATTAATTCCGAGTTATATATCCTTCTTAATTAATTAACTTATAAGTAATTACGTCATTATTACTTGGAATCAAACCAAAAAAAATTAATAATTAATTTGAGGAATTAGATCTAACTTAGATGTCTGATTAGGATTAACCCTGTTGGGGAAAGTTTTTAATACAAAGAATCGTTAGGTCAATCACTTTTGGACCCCATTTTGAAGATCCAATGACGAAAGTAGAGCCTGTGTGTCGTGAAAGAAGGGCTAACTCCTTTGGTTTTTTTGATATCTGTTAATGTTTGCAACAAACTGGAGAAAGCTTGTAATGGAAGAGAAGCAGGACAGGATGATATCACCATCATGTTTTCAAGACAAATTTTCCATCACTTTGATTGCATACAACGTGACATCATTAGACTCTTTGTTGGTTAGGGTTGCCCAAACAAGACCTGAGATCTACGTATTTCTCTTTAATGACCATTAACCCAAACAGCAAAAGGATAAGCCCAGTTCTGTTCTGACTTCCGAAAGCATACTCTTTGTTTGTTTTATGTACAAGCACATTACATATGGTGGAGAGGAGACAGCTTGGGTGAGCATAGAAGAGATATTGGGGCACTAGTACATATGAATAAGGGCTCAAAAAGTAAAAACACTATAATTAAACCCAAAAAAAACTGCTTATTTATTCTTGGGTCTCCACATATAATAAGTAATAACCAAATGTGCAAATTGCCCCTTAAAATTGTTGCATTGAAGCAACTTACTACCTAAAAAAATGTTCATGTAATTTGTCACCGCAAATTTCTATTTTCAAAAAATCAGCCAAAATTTAATGGTTTCCATTTTGTTAAACAATTGTTTTTGAAATCTAATAAAAAAGTTAACAATAAGTATTAAATTTGGACTAAATTTTTAAAAATATAAATTTAAGGTAACAAACAGCATCAACATTTTTTTTAAAGTAGAAATTTGCTTTAACACAACAATTTTGGGAGAATCTACACCTTTTGCCAATAAGTAACCCAGTGCGGGATTTCATTCAAAACTCTATCATCACTCAACTTGTGAACAAACTCATCAACATATGGATATATTGATATAATTAGAATTTATACACTCAAATGTCTCTCTAGTGTATTCTAATTAGTGTCTTTATATATCATGACTAAACTACTAATTAATTAACGAAAACTGATCAACTAGGTGAAGACGAGAAAAACAAAGAAAATGAAAATGAGATGAGCAAAAGTTGCCAATTTGAAGCAAAGTTAAGAGAAAATTCTTTAAAATAAAAAGCATATACATTCCTTGAGTGATATTTTAAGAGTTAAGAATTTAAGTCTCTACATTAGAAATCTTAAATTTAAATTCTAAATTGATAAAAAAAAATTTTTAAAAAAACTATTATTTAAGTAATATATATATAGACACATACACACAACATGACTTAGAAATTTGGAAGAATAAATATGGAAAGACTAAGGACAAAGAAAAGGAAAAAAGAAATATTATTGGAAACTAACAAAATCTCAAAAGGCAAAAATATGACATAAGGACCCGAACTTACACAAAATTCGTAATTTTGGACCCAAACTTCAATTGAGCTCAATGAAGGTCCCAAACTCCACGAAATTCTCAAATAAGGTCCTAATTGGACGGAAAACTAACTTCCGTCAAATCTCCTACAAACACCGTTAACATCATTAATCTCCGTCACGATCCACCCAACTGTAACACAGCTGAAAAAAAATTATGATAACATGTCAATTATTTTGCCATGTGGACATGAATTTTTAACTCCACAAATAACTAGAACCCACTGGTGGGCCTTTTGGTCTTTTTGACAAAGGATTCCCACGAATTAGGGATAAAAATCCCTCATTTTAACATGCTTCATTCTTTGTTCTTGAAACTGCAAATCAGATCTGGAAAATTTCTCATTTGTAAATTTTCTAATTTGGAAAATTTTACCTCCTTGCAATTTCCTACCAATCTTCTGTAGGAGTCGAAGGGGTTGAAGACGGAGATGGAGACGGTTCGGCAATGGGTGCAGTAGTCGTCATTTTCGATGAAGGTAGTGTAGAAGCTGGCAATTTGATTTGACTGCATGAGATGGAGACTGTGACTTCTTTGGAGAATGAGACGGTGATGGTGTGGGTGCTTGCGCAGTGGCAAAGGTGAAAAGCAGTGCTATGACCAAGATCAAGAAGAAGTGTAAGGAAGCCATTACGTAGAAGAGTTTGAGAGCCTACCGATCTTGAAATCCTTTCCCATTTTTGTCTTGAAATATCTGTTTGAAATAGGGGAGGAGAAGGCCGAGGCAGAGGTTAAGGCAGAGCTCAATAGCCGAAGCAGGGGTGTAGGTGGAGGTGCAGGTGCAGGTGAGGAGGAGCAAAACATTCTTGAAGTCCTTGATTTTTGTCCAGAAACCAAGATGAAGTCTAGGGCTTCATCTTCAGCATCTACCCTTTCTTTTCGACCTTCTGTGGATCGATCTGGTGCTAGACAAGTTGTTTGTGATCATGGATTAGCGGCACAGCTTCATGTTAGCACGAGTGAGTTAAACCCAGGAATAAGGTACTACAAATGCCCATTTTGGTTGGTTAGTAAAGGGTATTTGGTAATTGTTCTTGAAATTAATTATCACATTTCAAGTTTATTTGCTTTGAATCTTATTTTAAGTATTGCAGCCAGGTGGTGGTGGAGCAAGAGCTTGCATTTTTTTTTAATAGGTTGATGCTGAATTATCGAGTTGGTATAAAGATACAATTAACAGGCTTAAAAATGAAAAATTGGCTTTGGAGAATGAGAACAAGATTTTAAGAGTAGAATTGGTTAGTGCAGAGAGTAGTGGAGGTGTTGAAATGGAAGCAATGGTGTCTAAAAGAGAAAATGACGAAAAGTGTATCTGTGGAATGGACAGCAAAGAAGGAATGCTAGAAAAAATAGAAGAGAATGGAAGGCTAGATGCATTCAGTTTGAATTTTTATAGGACTGCTTTTTTTTCTTTTTTTTTTTGTGTTGTTTTCATTGCTTGTTTAGTTTTGTTGAAGTGAGGTACAATAACAATGAATTTACGTTGTCTGTTTTGCTCAGTAAGATGCCCAAATGGCCATTTTGTGTAGTGCAATAGGAAGTGGTCATTTTGCTTTTGTTTTGTCAATGTAAGATGACCAAAGGGCCATCCCACCTGTAATCACAGTTTCTGGAAATGGACATCCGATTTGTAATGATAGTTTCTAAAAATGAAAAGTGTTTATTTTGTATATTCTCATTCTTTGCAAGTCTACAGTATATCAAACTAACAAAAGACCAAAATACATTATAAAAGAACATTATACATTCTAACAAAAGATAGAATATTACAGTGATATTAGACATAAATAAAAGAACACAATAGACTTAAACAAAAGACCAGAATCCATTTTAACAAAAATACCAGTTTTAACTTAAGCAAAAGACCAGAATACATTGGTACTTGAACAGAATACATTCTAATAAAAGATAGAATACCAGAATAACATTATATATAAATAAAAGAACATATTAGACTTAAACAAAAGACCAGAATGCATTCTAATAAAAATACCAGTAGACTTAAGCAAAATAACATAGTAGACTTAATTTTTCTGTTTTTTTGAGGTTCTCTTCTTCCTAGAAATCTAGATCCCATTTTCATGTCTCCCATTTCTCTTGCTCCCCTATTTTGAGCTTTCTCCAACTTCAATCCTTGGCCCAATCTCCCTAAACTCTTGTTGCATTCCTCTTCTTTCCCTTTGACTTCCACTTGAAACAAACAACTCAGAAGCATGTCCAGGCTGTTTCATGATTTTTTATGAAAAAAAAAAAACCACATAAGTCACCATTGTTAAAATCAAAACCTTTATAACTGAACATAAGCAAACAAGAAAACTTATATATATACTTATACATGTATACACCATATTTAATAAAATAAAATATCAAGTGACAATAATGCTCTTACATCTAAAATGACATCTTCAATCAGTGGGTCATTAAAGATACCAAGACAACATTGCAAGGAAAAAAAATAGGGGTTTTTTTTTTTTTTTTTCTGTCTCGGACTTTAATAGTCTTGGAAGTTGGAGAGAATCGAGAGATTTTAATGGGAGGGAAAGAAAAGGTTGCCAAAAAGAAAAAAGTCCTAGAGGGGAATGTCCCGCCCAAGACAATCCAAAAATTCATATCCACATGGCAAAATAATTGACATGTCATCATAATTTTTTTCTAGTTACGTTACAGTTGGGTGGAGCGTGACGGTGATTAACGATGTTAATGGTGTTTGTAGAAGATTTGACGAAAGTTAGTTTTCCGTCCAATTAGGACTTTATTTAAGAATTTCATGGTGTTCCATCCAATTAGGACCTTATTTAAGAATTTCGTGATGTTTGATACTTTCATTGAGCGCAATTGAAGTTCGGGTTCAAAATTGTAAATTTTGTGTAAGTTCGATCCTTATGTCATATTTTTGCCATCTCAAAACCATACTTTCTTTCATAGTGTCCTTGCAACCCAACCCAACGCATTATAAGGCGAGAATCTCGCGGGAGCCAACGGTATAATTCTCTTAGAGAGAGAAGAAAAGAAATACTCGATCCGAAGGAATAAGAATATTTTTGGAGTATTTTAGAGAGAAAAACAACGAACAAAAGGTATGTATGAGGATATATAGATTACAGCACATGTTTCAATTTTCCTTCACACGTGTCAACGAAGTGACATGTCAAAGGGATACGGTCAAAGACATACGGCCAATGTCACAGCCAATAGGAGAGCACTGACGGAAAATAAAATAAAATAAAAA